TCTGATTTGATCTGAGTCCATCGATTCAGGCCTGTACAGGTTCATTTGCAAACAGAAACATCCTAAAAATGTTACATGCAGCCAATACACTCCTTTGATTGTCTTGGTTGCAGACAAAAGTAGAAACTGAGAGATTTAAGGATAAAAAATATCAAAGATAACAAGCTTTAAAAACAGATCCTACAGAGTTATATACTTTTTATTGTGCCTTTACTTTTCTTGCAAGCAGCCACAAAGTGCAACTGTCTCTTAGTGGTGGACGGTAACAACAAGCTCACCAAGATCTTTGGTGTCCATCATGACTTGCAATTGATTAGTAACTGATAGAGAACTAGTGCATCAGTTTATAGTTTATTAGGATGCTCTGGAACATCATGGAATTACCAGAAAGTTGTATTTTCTCAAAATCTTGCAACAATTTTGAAAAGATTTGAATAATTTTGGATGTGGCATTTAAGGTAGAAATAGCTAAAATTCACTATTAACATCTTCAACATGATATTTTACTGTCTTTCGCCACATATTTATATAATTTCCAGTCAGAAAAGAAGCTCTTGGGCAAATAAAACTGACTATAAATCAAAAATGTGGCTAGGAGTGAATAGTTTGGGGTTTAACTGTAGCTCAAAATGAAAAAATCCTTCACCAGAAATCACAGTTATGATGTTTTAGTGTAAAGTTTGCCATCCGTTAGCTCGCAAACTGCTTGACAGTGTCTGGGCATGGGATCATGTGAAAACTGTGATGAAAGTTACCTCCATGTCTCAGCCAGTAAAGCTTCCAGTTCCCAAAGGTGCTTTATGAGATTTAGGTCAGCCATCTGGGAGGGTCATTCTGAGGCTTTGACTTTCTCCAGTGCAAAACATTTTTTTTTTTCCAGCAGTCGGCTGGTGAGCTTTGATTCTTCCAAAATTATTCTGCACACTTCAGAGTTCATGATTCTAATAATAGTTCAAAGTTCACCTCCAGACTTTAGATACCAGAACTACTTCTTCTTCTTCCGGGCTTCCTCCTACCATCAGATCCATGTTGATTCACCTGAAAATAACACGTCTATACAAGCTGATGCCTTTCTGTGCGTGCTTTCGCTAATTTTAATCCTCGCGCTTTTTCTTCTTCTTTGTGGTTATGAATTGTTTCTGCAGCATCGCTCTCCTGCTGTACCTCCTGTTCCCATCGTCCTTTGAACTGCGTTGCATCTTGTGTTCCTTGTCTGCTGTACCTCCTGTTCCCATCGTCCTTTGAACTGCGTTGCATCTTGTGTTCCTTGTTTATCTCCGAAAAGATCTTTACTGTTGTTGCTTGTCTGCCTGCGGTTCAATCTGCTGCAGCTTTTTATTTTTTTGGGGTTTGCGCCTGCTTGATTGTGGGAACTGAACTTTTTTCACAACGTACCCAGCTGCAGAGAATGAAGATTGAGTTTTTTGCTCACTTGAGAAATCGAGTGTCGTTCTTTATGCAAACAAATCATGCTCGCTTTTTTTTTTTTTTTTCTCTTCCCACTTTATTTGTCTTTGTTGTTGTTGTGGTTTTAACAAACCAGCTGTCCAACAACAAGCGTGCTGGTCTGTGGGAGGAAGCAGTGATGCAGGCAAAGTGAAAACAAACACACTCCACACAGAAACCAGCAGGAACCTTTGTGCTTTGAGGAGAAGGTGCTAAATGCTGCACCACGGTTCCGGGGTAATTTACAGTCAGTGTACAAAATGAAGTTTGCACAGAGGCACAGTAACCACAGCGACAGTTAATCACATTAAAGCTACAGTAGGCAGGAGTCTGGAAAAGAAAAGTTAAACACAAAATAACCCCGAGCCTCCCTTCTCTGTTGGAAGCACCTTCCACCACACACACTTAGAAAGTATTAAAATAGTCAAACTAAAAGTCAGCCATGATGTCTTCCTCTCACTGCCTTTCTGATCCGGACAAAGAGCCTGTGATTGGTCAAAGTCTCCCAACCTAGACTAGATTTTACAAAAACTAGGACGAGGTGCAGAAGTCTAGTTTCCTCTCAGACACTATGCGTTAAGTTTTGTGTGGAATTTTTGCCCATTGACGCCACATAAATACCGTCTATCTATCATAGGTCAAACTCCGGCATACCTACGTTCACTACTCATCACCCGTCACATCAGACAACAGCAACCTCATCCACCTCCTCATCCCCAAAGCCCGCACTGTCTTTGGCCGCGATTCATTTCAGTTTTCTGCAGCCCTCGACTGGAACCAGTTACAAAAAACAATCAAACTCAGTGTAGTACTTTATCTTCTTTTAAAAATATGGTGAAGCAACTTTTTATCGAGTCCTGTACCTGCTTTTAGTGTATTTTATCTTCAAAGACTTTTATTGTTACGTTTGTTTGTGTATTGTTTTTTATGGATGTATTGTATTTTCTGCTCTGTGCTGCCTCTTGGCCAGGTCCTTATTGTAAATGAGAACCTGCTCTCAATTAACCTACCTGGTTAAATAAAGGAAAAATAAATAAAATAAAGATATCTCAGCTTTAATGATCCAACGTTGTGCCTGTTAAAATGGTCAAATTAGCAATCAGACAATAGATGTACTGAATTTAGCATTTCAAGGGGAAAATCCACTTTGATTTGTTTATTTTCATAGATTTTTTCTTTTCCTACTGACTTTTGCTGTATGTGTTTTTGTGTAGATTAAACACCAATGTAATATTTCAACCTCATGAACCTGTTAGACGTTTTTGCTGATAGTTTGACTTTCTGGAGCTACTTTAAATTTTCTCACCTTGGATGTTTGTCTTGTGATTAAAAAGATGATGTGTTTCTCTAATTCATCCTGCAGTCGTCACTTTTCCTGCTAGTCAGTGCTTGAATGCAGACATGTTTAGAGTCTATATAAGAGTACATATAGAAGAGTCTGCATAGTTTTGCCAACCTTCAATATGGCAGCGACATCTCAGACCAGAAATCAACACATTTTCTCACCACAAGCAATTAGTTTTACTCAACAAAACTGATGAGAGACTTCATTTTTTTTGTATGATGAAATGCAAAACCGACTGTATTCAACAAACTCACAGCCTTTATCGTTCATCTCACAGGGAGAGAGTCCTTGAACTTCCTCCAAATACAGTGCAGCGATTTGCTTAGTTGGAAGAAATCTCATAATTCTTGAAATGCGGCCTGCAACACATTCCTAACTTTGCATATTTTCTTTTGAGGTTACAAGCAATACCTTCTACATGTTGAAAAAATATATTCTTAAACTGCTTTTCTTTACCATTTACCTTCTAGTCAGTGGTGCTTTCATGGGCTCTACCTGACTTCTAGATGCCACCTGGTGGTACACAAAATAACTCTTGGGTGTTGGAATTCAAATTAAAAGGAGCTGAAGTGAAACCACTGCTGGTTGTGTAGCACCGATGCACAGTGTTGTTACTGCTTCTGGTGCAGAACAAGTAAAACACAACAGTCCATCCTGTAGGTGTGGCACCATCACACCTCTTTGGATCGCACTCAGGGTCCGTGTTACGACTGCGGCCGTATTTGTTTAAGGAATATTATGTCCTGTGTGACCCGTTCTGATTTCATTACATATGTAAATAGGGCTGCGCCGTCACGACCACGGGATTGGCTAACCAGCGGAAGTTCCGGTTTAAATACGGAGGAAGGACTTCGCCAATCAGCACAGAGACTGAGGGTCAGATGGGTGGAGCCATTTTCCTCACCGGCATCCCAACCAGCACAGCACCACGTCACGAGTTCTGTGTAGTGGGTTTTGTGAATGGAGTGAGCTGCTACTTTCTTTGTTACACCGTTTTCTCATGTTTATGTTCGGTAGGGAGGCCAGACATTGTGTTTGTTTTTGTTCTTCCTTAATTTAGCTTCGTTTTGGTTGTTTTTTAGTAGAGCTCACTCTTAATTTAAGATTCCTTTTGTTTTAACCCCACATTTATTGTAAATAAACCATTATTTGTCCGGTAAAACCGCTGTGATGTGGCTGCGTGGGACCGGAGAGGGATGGCACATTCGTGTTGCGTTCAGGTGCCCCTAGACTGGGCGTAACAGTCCGTATTCCCTCTCAAAACTTTTTCCCAAACCTCCACCTGCAAACTGTTTAGTGCCTAAATGTGTGCATTTCGTGATTTCACTTGTTTTGTTGAAGAATAAACTATTTGTTTGAGGCAAACATCGAAAAAAGTGACAAAGTTATGCAAAAATCATGCATTGATTTTTTCATTCCAGATTTGTACATTTGCACAACGTTGTCGATCCGGGGACACTGCAACATGTAAATCTGCCTTCTATGGCTTCTTTGTCCTTTTTATCTGTTTTATGAATTCGATTCGGTGAGAAAAAAAAAAATCGGGTGGGTGGGCTCATGGTGTGCTTGATTTAATGTTGGTTTTTTTTCTGCACATGGAACAAAAGGATTCCCTATGTGCTGCGGTCTGAGTGGGCTTTCACGTCCTTTAATTGTGTGCATGTTAAATGAACGGGTAGCTATGCCATTTTTGATATTACATTTCCTGACATGTTTACTAGTCTCATTAGCATAATACTATATTCATACTGGCCTGGAGCTGTAATTGTGAAACATGATGTGTCTGTGTGTGTGAGCTAATGTGTGTTTAGGTTATTAATCATAGTGTGTGGGCTCACACACTATTCATCAGGGAGAGCAGAGTGTCGCAAACAGTCAGAACAACTATGATGATACTGTAAACTTACAGATGGGTGGAAAATTAAAGGAGGAACATAACCTCTAATAAGGTGACCCCGTGGCTCTGTTATGCTGGCATGGTTTGGAGCCACTTGTCTGCTTAGGCTGAGCTACAGGAGTTTTAAAATCCTCGCAAATCCTTTTGCATGACACACATAAGGAGACATTTCACAGATATTTTTCTCTTCAATCTCAGACATGCTCTCATTAGAAGATGTGAAGTTAATGGCACATCCCACACTGCAGGATATCAGCAGATTACAGTGCCAAAGGGAGCAATATAGGAGCGCTGCACCTCCTCATGGGGAAACAGATGTAAAGAAAATGGAGACTTTTGTGCTGCAAGAACTTGCTAATAAAAGCCTAAATGAGTCTGGATGACAAAATGGTTGGGGAGATGCAGTCAACATGGGTAGCTACGTCTTTGGTAACAACTGGAAATGAGATTTTAATTTTTAATATCTGTGGCTAACATTAGCCTCAATAAGAGTATCTACTTTTAAGATGAAGCTTAAAACGTCAATCTTTGATGAAGCTTATTATGACTGACCCTGAAACCCTCTTTAGTTATGCTGCTGTGGGTTTAGTCTGCTGAGGGATCTCCCATGATGCACTGAGCCTCTCTCCTTTGCGTTGCCCTTCATGACACTATTGCATGTCATTAACTTTGTGTTTTCTCTCCCGTAGTTTTATTGTGTAGAGCAGCTTGGGTTTGTAATATAAGAATTATTTTTATTAGTATCAAATTTCTAAGGACGTTACCAGGATTCTTTGTAGTACACTAGACTATCAAAATAAAAGCAAAAACACAAAATGAACGTATCAGGATTGTGAATTATTCTGACATTTCAAAATAAAACACGTATATACGAGGTGTGTCAGAAAAGTTCCAGGATTGGTGTCACAAAAGATATATTTTACATCCAAATCACTATGAATTTGGATGTATGAAATGAAACTATGAGCCTTCCCCTTCAGACAATCAACAAGCAAAGAGATCCTTCACCATGACAATGCGCCTGCTCACGATGCCCTGAGCATCCGGCAGTTCCTGGCTGAGAAGAACATCTCCGTGCTGGAGCAACCTCCCCACTCACCCCACCTGGCTCTGTGGGATTTATTCCTCTTCCCCAAGCTCAAGGGACTCATCAAGGGGACCAGTTTTGAAGATGTGGACGACATCAAGATGGCTGTGACGACAGAACTGAGGAGGATCCTGGAAGAATCCTTCCAGGAGTGCATGATGACGTGGCAGAGAAGACTGGGGAAGTGTGTTAGACTCCAGAGGGATTACTTTGAAGGGGAAAACTTGTAGTGTGTGGTTTGGATTTGGAATATATCTTTTGTGACACCAGTCCTGAAACTTTTCTGACGCATCTCATACATCATGTTTATAATATCTCTCATCACGAAGCAGGACATGACAGATTGCAGTAGCTGCACTGGTGCACTCATGATTCTTTCAGAAACTGTCCAGCTTTCAATACTATCACTACGGCGACCACATTATGCACGGCTGTTTCTGGTCTCTGAATATTGATAAATTTGAATTGAATGGACGTTCCAAGCTTTGTACAACTGCAGGAGACAATCTGTAGCCAATCTAACCAACATGCTGTACAATGTATAGAAATGTGTATATCTATTGATTATGGACATGAACACTGCACAGATATTACAAACTACACATGCAGCTAAACTCGCTTCTATTGTTTGTATTTCACTTCTCAAAACAAATTGTAGTGAAAATGTAAACTGTGACTTAAATGCAAATAAATAAATAAATAAATAAATAAATAAATCTAATTATAGCTGATGTACAGTTTTTTATCACTTCCTTTAGGTGTCTGATGACAGAAGACAAAAAATACGATAATTTACCTCAAAAACTGTATTCAAGGTTGGTTTCAGCAGCAGTAGGTGTGCTCACTATGATACAGCATCAGTCTACATCTCTCCACATTATTATGACTCTGTTGGAGGCAGAAAATGGTCACGAAGCTTTGATCTTTTTGAAACATAAAAGCCTCTTTTTTTCCAACATTCACGAACAAAGCCGCCACAGAGCCCAGAAACATGCACGTATTTCTCCAAAGGACCAAAATAAGGCCTGAGTACCTCTGCAGGGTGATAGCGAGGACAGAGCTGGAGAATAAAGATGAGGCAACACTTGTTGATCTGCTGCTGTCAGTCTGAAAGGAATCACTTACTCTGTGGAAACTTGGGAGGGTTGTCGTTGACATCGGTGAGGGTGATGTTGACGGTAGTGGATCCTGACAGTCCTCCGACGGAGCCCGCCATGTCTTTGGCCTGGATCACCACGGCGTAGTAGTCCCTGGTCTCACGGTCCATGTTGGACATGGCTGTACGGATGATACCTGAATTAGAGATGAGGAGAGAAAAAATATATGAAAAAAACCCTCACAGAGCTGCATGTGAAAAACACTCTGTACTGTCAGTGAATTCATAACCGCATTGCACAGAGAACTTTGGAAGCCTGTTTCCACTAGTAGAAGAAAAGTAACAATAAAGTTTTTTTAATTAAAAATTTAACATAAGTTTGACAATTTAAATGTTTGTTTTGAAAATATATTTTTCCTTATGAATGTACATATTTTAAAAAATGTTATTCATGACAATTTTTAAAATTGTTTCCTTAACCAGCAAAAATAAACTAGAGTTAAGTACAACAGTGTATTCAGTGTGTAGCTGCAGCATATTTCATCTGGTTAGTGTTACACTAAACCCAATATGATTCAATCTAAAGGGGGGAAAAAAAAGCAAAATGTTCCCGAGAACAAAAGTTATTTTTGTGATGCAAGTTGGAAATAAACTTGCAGATAGAATCTGGAACAAAGACGGAGGATCAGCAGGTAATGACCTTTTTTCTGTCTCAGAAGTGAATGAGTTGAATTCCAGTGTCTTGTTCAACAACAAGCAGATTCAGATTTTTCACCGAGGAAACTTTTTTTCAGATTCACAAATTTGACATAAAATGGAACCCGATGACATTTTAAAAGGCTGACGTGACTCATTTATGCAAAGTTAAACTGGAAACCATAAATCCTGACAGATAATATGAATGAAAAAAAGAAGAATTTAAGGTGGTCAGAGTTCAGTACGTATGAAAATAAAGTGTTTTTAAAATCTACTCTCATAAAACATGACTGAGATTCTACCCTGACTTTTATCAAGTAATGTAACCCTGATAATCAAGTTAACACACCAGTGATGCATTTTCAATTATACTACAAAGTTTCTCTACCCTGAGCTAAGAATTAAACCCAAACCAAGTTTCTGTGGCTAAACCCAATCAAAATATTACTACAGTGCGTCCAACACTGCTTCAAGGCATGGACTATTGTTAAGTGTTTAAGATCTTTAGGAACAATACAAAAGAGGAGAAGGAAAAGAAACGGGGATAAATGAAGGAGTGGAGATACACCGGTTCTTGTCCTAAGTAGTTCACCACTAACACAACCTGACCTTTGGGGAATAAAAGAGCACAAAGTAAAGCTGAGACTCACAGGATGCTTTTAGTTGTGTGTGTATTTGGTTTAAAACCAAAATCCTGTAAGACCTGACATTGTTACGCTGGCATTCCTACAGTAGCGGCATAGCTGAAAACTACAAACAATGTGCAGTTTGTTTTTGATTAGGTAAGTTTCATGGTGGAAAGCTTGTATCCACAGCACATTAACACCATGACGGCGTGTGGACTGATGGTGGCACAAACCACAGGGCTGCATGTTGTGATGTCGTTGTGTTATGGATGTTCTGCTTCATTCGTTCAGCTTTGACTGCTACAGACAGACATCTTCTCTGTGTGTGGACAGTGTTTGGGTGCATAGACTGAAAACAGTATTATACTCAGAAATATATCATTAAGTTCATGTGCTACAGGAGGAGCTACAATACAATATGTAGTATGTGTACATTATGAAGTAATACTGTGATTAAAAAAGTCACAAAATACAGAAACATCTGTTGTATTTTATGTTGATATTAAAAGTGACATGACAAACTGAGGAGCACTTTTAATACGCGACACAAAAACAAGTGAGGAACAAATCAGAAAATATCCTTATATTGACGTCACTATTTTGGTCTAAAACACCTTTCATGTTTTTAAAAATGGTTTCTTTTTATCTTATTTATCAAAACTTTGGGGAAATTGTTGGGTTTGTTTTGTCCTCTATACTTGTTGTAGCCTTATTTTATTTATATTTTATTTTAGTGTGCAAATGTGCAAACATAGAAGCACACTTTTTATTACTTGTCCAGCTTTTTATTGTTCTCCTTCTTCTGTTGATTTTTTTGTCACATAGGGAAAAAAGTAGAAACAAGGATTTTTCAAAGGTTTTGAATAGTTTCAGAGTTACCTCATGAACAGACAACAGTGTGTGACGATCAGAAATGTTGAATCAGAATTCGTGAAAATTGAAAATGGTGTCCCACAGGGCTCAATCCTGGGGCCTGTGAGGTTTACATTTTATGCAGACAATATTGTCTCTTCTGAATGTGGGCGTTATGTACATCTTTATGCTGATGATACAGTTTTGTACTATAGGGTGCTTAATGTAAAATCTGCTGTTAAATACATCCAGCACTGCTTTACCGAGTTACAAATTAAACTCAGTAGCCATAAATTGATTCTTAAAAATAAATTCAGTAATTTCACGTACATCCAAAAATACTGATTTTAATAATTTTGTCATCTCTAGTGGTCGAAATATTGAATGAGTCATGGAATCCCAAATATCTTGAAATACGGATCAATGAGAAACTGATATTTATTGATTGGTTTTATGGATTGATTTTAGATATATCACAATACCATAAAGGCAAAAAAAAAAAAAAAAGAAAAAAAAAAAGAAAGAAATCAAACAAAAAGAAATCCAAAACCTTGAAGAATGAAGTTTAACGTATTAACCCACTACATATCTGGCCATCTCATATCTTACTGCTTCCTATTTGCTTCAAACCTTGTACTTATATACATCTTTAGACACACATTTACTGTTCCATATTATTACATTTTTCAGTTCTTTTTTTTGTTGTTGTATATTTTCTTAAGTGGTTTAACAGTTGTACTCATTTTAAGATCATTGTCTAGACTCCTTCATACATTTACCCAACGAACGGATGAACCTCTGCTCTTCATTGTGGTGTGCACAAATGGCTTTTTAAAAAAAATATACATTTCCTTTTTATTCACTGTTTCCAATGTTTTTATTTATTTACATCATGTGTTTAAAACTTGTGACCAAATTAAGACACAAAATTGGTTTCTTTTACAAGAATAAACGAGTTTACCCACGACACTGTAGAGAAAGTCTTAATGAGGCAACTTTTCAATCAGCGTTGGGTTGTGGTAACATTTTATACATGCAGGCCTCAGCCGGGAACCCAACACTGTTTATCACTCTGCATTAAGATTTATTAGTGGCGATAATTACAACACTCATTAATGGGAGCTGTATGCTGAACTCCAGGTGCCCTCAGTCTCTGTAAGGTGTCACATACACTTGGTGTTATTTATTTATTTATGCTATTATTTATCTTCTTCTGTCTTTTAATACTTAGCATATAAGCTGAAATGATTTTATGATTGATTTGGAGTGCAGCGACCTGCCTGGAAAATCCAATTTTTACTCTGTGCACCTGCAACCTGTAGTAACATGCAGAACAATCTAAAGTTTGACTAATCTTTAGGGAAAACTTTTAATTTCATCTTATTTAACCTCTGGCGCTAAGAGGAACTAACAGCACAGCAGCAGCGGCAAACGCTCTGGTCGTTGCTTTATCTGAGTTTTATTATGGGAGATACTATATTACTAAATCATTAGGTAATGATTAGCTATTGATCACACGCCTCACTTTCTTCACGAGTCCTTCGTGATTAACTCTGATCGAAGCGCTGACAGTACCCACTTATTCATTATTGATTGCTTTAACATTATTCTTTTTACATCCCCTCGAGCAGTGCCTCATTTTTTTCATTACTACCTCACCTTTACTTAACCTATTACCTGTGCAAACACATTTAGCCTTATTTTTTATTAATGTGACCAGAGAAAACATTCAGTTGGCACATTTCCTTATTCAAGTTGAAACTACAAGCTGCAGCACATTGAACCTGCTGCCACCAGCATAAAGCGCTTTAAATGAGGTCACCGTGTGTGGCTGCAGAGTGACTGTACAAATGTGTTTTAATTATCCTACGTGTCATTACTCATTCAGATCATTTTACTGTATGCGCTGACACGCTAATATACGGGACTGTGCTTCTTATCATTTGTGAGACGCTTAAAATGTCATAGTTCTTATGACACAAAATGAAGTATTAGACACAAATTCCCAGATATATAAATGAGTCGCCAAAGCAGAGCTCCGAAAGACAATGGAGTTTCTATCCAGAGGAAATAATCCTGCATCGACTGCTGCCTTCAGGGAAATCCCAAAGGAAAAATGAAGAGGTCGAGTTCCTCAGTCAGCATTCTGGGCTGGAGCATGAAGGGTGACGGCGTGCATTACATATGTAGAAGCCAGAGTGATTGGCTGCAATATAAAAAAAAATGATAATATGATTTGGCCACAGGGAATGGTAGCTCATTTTTATAGCTTATATTCTACATTGGATGGTAAAATACTTTTACACACACTCGCGCACGCAGACTATTCCTCCATATAACACATGCACACCAATGCAGCGACTCTGAAATAAAATAACCAATCAAGTGGTGCAGATTGCCTGTTTGGCAGCACGCTGCTGAAACTGAGGATTTCTGCACTCTCACGAGCAGAATATCAAATTGATTTGATACCAATACATTTCTGTATTTTTTCATGTAAATACAGTGTTGTAGTTGTGGGAACTCTCGGATTCATGAAGCAGGTTTTCCTGTGTGAACGACATCAGCCTCCAGTTACACTGACAACTGGAAATAGCTCTACCTACATTCCTGTTTGCTCATTCCGTATTACAGTGCATTCACATGCCCCCATTTAAATAGTCAATAAATACATTATTCTGCCCAACGAAGCCAGAACACAGTTACTACATCCATCCATTTATAAGCTACACATGCTTTATCCTTTTAGAGGGTCACCAGGGACCGAACACTATCCCAGCTGGCACTGGGCGGGAGGCAGAGGATGACCTGGACAGACCAGCAGTCCATCACAGGACTAACGCAAGGACACATATTCATGCTCACACTTACACCTACGCTGTACAAAAATAAATTATTAATTAAATTAAAATGTAACTGTAGTTTGTTTGAATAATTTACTGTTGTTTTACAGATTTTCCTCTGGTTTTTGAAATTACATATATACTTCATAAAATCACAGAAGAAAAAAAGTATTAATTTAC